GTGCTCCCCACATCTCTAAGGTGGGGACCAGGTGGTATCTGGGGTGCTGAGGAGCTGCTCAGGTTCCACACGTCCCTGCCTGGCCCCAGATGATCTGATAGTGATGATCCTGCTGTACATCAGTGCTGTGCTGCCACGTGCCCGGGGTGAGCTGGTTTTCTGGGTACCATTGCAGCACTGAAGAGGTCCTGATGTTGCTTTTGCTGCCCTTTCTTCCCTCCAGGCAGAGCAGATGTGCTCCTGGGTTAGGAGGTAGTGGCAGCACCCACTGCTCCTCAGGGATGGATGCACATCTATCCCTAAAACCATCTGCAGGGCTCATTGCCTCATCTCAAAGCCTTCCAGGGACCTCAGAGCAGATCCACCAGCCCTGAACCCGCCAGGCTGCAGGGACCAGTTCCACTCCAACCAAGGCAGCTCCCAAACCCAATGTGGTCTGAAGGGAGGAGGCTGAACACACCCAGAGAAACCTCTGTGGTTGGCAGCCTCACGAACCAGCCCTTCCCACCTCATGGCCAGCCCTCGCCACCATGACCCAGCTGAGGTTTGGCACCCATCAGGGGCGTCTCTCTGCATTTATGTCCTGGCCACCCACCCAAGGAAAGACCTGTATTGTCTCTGAGGCAGAGAGAGAGCTGCTGTGTCACTGCAGCGCTGTTGTTTTATCTGGAAAGGGGCTGAGCAGCTTTCAAAGCATGTTTCTATCCGGTCCCTCATGCAGGGGGGACTTGGGGGTCCTCAAAAGGTGCAAATTGCAGCTGCACAATTAAATCATGGGGTGTGTCCTGGCCTCTGCGGTCCCCGGGGCAGCTCAGCCCTAAGGAGGAGACAGTGGCATTACTAATCAGGGCTTTGACCTTTACATGGCTTTTATTTAATACACATTCCACACTTCCCCAAACTCCCATCCAAAACATTGACATTTCCGCTGATAGATTGGGTCAGATTTTGGAGTAGTTGGGGGACTCAATTCACTCTTACAATGGTTAAATTCTTACAGCTAAATGGGCTTATTCAGTTAGTGCAGCAGCTGGTGTGATTTCGAGAAGAAAATAAACATTTCCTTCAAATATTTTGATTGGCAACTGGACAACTGAAGTACTCAAGCTCGGATTGCCAGGGTCCAAAAAAGCAAATGGGGGCTGGACGGCGAGTAAGCGAGGGAAAACTGTAGTAAATCCTCGGAGGCAGCACTACGGAGCAGATGTGTGTGATGTGTGCTAGGGAAGGGGACAGCAAGAAGGGGTTTTTTAAGCCCATTTTGAGCTGGGATTCCAAAGGGAATGTGAGGTCCGAGGATGCAGCTTCACCCACCCCTTGTTCCCTGGCTTTGCTCAGCAGCTGCTTGCTCCAGGTTGCTGTTTGATCCTGGCTGTGGCAGACGGTCCTTGCTGCTGAGTTAGGTGGTTATGGAGGGTGTTAATGGCCGTGTTTTAATTGGATCTCGCTGGGGTTGTTTCAGTGGAGATTCCCTCGAATGCAGGGCAGGCGCTGGGGCTGTATGGCTCTGATCTGGGGCAGCCGGGATGGAGGGGCAGCCCTGAAGTGGAGGAGATGGGATGGAGAGGAAACCTTGAGGCGAGGACCAAGATGGAAGGAGCAGTGCTGAGGTGGAGGGACAGTTGTGAGGTGAAAGAGATGGGATGGAGGGGCAGCCCTAAGGTGAGGACCAAGATGGAGGGGAAACCATGAGGCAAAGGAGATGGGATGGAGGGGAAACCCTGAGGTGATGGAGCCAGGATGGAGAGGATGCTGAGCTGAGGATGCTGAGCTGGAGAGACAATTGTGATGCGAAGGGACAGAGGTGCAGCCCTGAGGAAAGGACCAAGATGGAGGGGAAATCCTGAGGTGAAGGAGACGGGATGGAGGGAAGCCCTGAGCTGAAAGACATGGGATGGAGGGAAGCCCTGAGGTGAAGGACATGGGATGGAGGGAAGCCCTGAGGTGAAGTACACACGAGAGATGGGCAGCCCCGAGGTGAACTCGCAGGACACAGCAGCATCCCTGAGACACCGGCCCTGAGGCGATGGCGAGGCCCCGGCCCCCTCTGGCGGCCGCCTCCTTCCCGCCTCTTTCCCGCCTCCTCCCGCGGCCTGGCGGGCGCCCCCTGCTGGCGGCGCGGCCGCGTCCCCCTCAGGCGGGCCCTGCGCGGGCCGGTGCCGCCGCGGTTTTGTTTTTAGAGTGGTTTGGGGGTTTATTCGTAGCCTCAGGGAAAAGCTGAGAGCTCTTCCGGTCAGGGAAAGCTGGAGCTTTATTCTGGGCCAGACTTAGAGCCCAAGGCTGGCGAGGATCAAAGCGAGCTGGTCACATCCACTCGGATGCCTCATGGCTCTGCTGGGTGTGGGTTCCGTTTGAGGGGTTCGCGCTGAGAGATTTGCTTTTTGAAGGATCAAAATTCGCAGATCACAGCGCTGCAGAGTGCTCTGGGGGTTCAGAGCCTGGCAGAGCTCCCCACAGCCTTGCTGTGCTTTGCTCATCACACACAGAGCCCGTAATTAACACTCTTACACGCTCCTGTCCAAATTAGTAGCAGGGACCCTCTGCCAAATGGTGCACGTTCAGGCCAATAAAATGTAGCCTCTAAAAAAACCCCTCTTTGAGTGAGTTATAGAGGAAAAAAGAAATGTGCCCTGAGCACTCAGGTTTGATTTTGATTTGCATTTTATGGAATATTATTTATGGAGCTGTGAAAAGTAATGAAGGAGCGCAGTCTGAGCGATTGTCATCTGGGAAGGCAGCGAGCGGCAGTCTGAGTGTTTTGGGGGTTGAGAGGGATTTGGAGGCTGCTTTTTCTCAGTGCAGGACTGCTGAGTTTGAGGGGAGGCATTCAGAAGGCAGCACTTTTTCTTTCCAGTCCAGGTGCAGGCAGGATTTCTGCCCCACGGTCCTGTCTCAAGCCATGATGCTGCTGGATTGCTACCGCCACGGGGCTGCGGTCAGGCTGCTTCTCGCAGAGCTGGTCTCCAAACCTCAGCTCTCTCAAACCTCAGTGCCTGGCAGCCGCTGTGGCTGCAGCACGGCTTTGGGATGGGTCCCTGCTGGGCTGTGAAATCGGGCTGGGAGCGCTTTTCCCACCGCTGTGCTTTTCCAGCCAGCCCAGCGTAGAGCAGGGTCGGCCCTGTGGCCGGGCAGCCGCTTCCATGGGTGCTTCCCAACGCCGGGCGTGTGCAGAGCAGTGTGGTTCGGGACAGCTTTGAGCTCTGCTCCTCTCTTATCTCGCCCCAAAGCCACAGCCACGTTCACAAACCAGGTGCTCCCCCGCCTTTCCCCTCCGTGGAGCCTGCGTGGGAAGGCAGGCGCTGCTGGGCGCCCGCAAAAGGGCTGCGGGCGAGGGAGGGAGGATCCTCCCCTTCTCCTTCCACGGCTGAAGGACTCACCTGGGATCAGAAGGGAGGTTCACATCAAATCACCTCCATACCTGCTCCTCCGGAGCGTGCCCGTGTCACTAGGTAGCTGGAAGGGATTAAATCAAGAGTTTTCTCCTGGGGAAATGCTTTGGGGCCTGGAACGCCAGCCCTGAGAAGTTAAAAATGCTTCATTGTAATAAATAGATCTAAAACACACGTCCCTGTGCATGCAGAGCAGCCACACAATCCTCTGGATGTGTGTTTGTATGTATATGCATTTCCAAAACCAACAGGCGTGTTTAGCATACTCACCTCACATTCTCTTGCTCTGAAGGATACAAAATCCAGCTGATGCAACCAAAAAAAGTCACTTTTGAGGCTGGATAGTGTCCCACTAGCAAAGGAGAAAGGCCCTGCTTTTAACAAGAGGAAAATAGAGAAGGTCTGAAGGACACTTTCCTTGGAGAGCAAACCTCATTTCTCTCTGTTTTAATGCACCAAGCCCAGAGGTTCCTGGGCTCTGTCTCAGCCTTGGGACAGCTGAGAGACCCACAGGAATGGCTCCAGCTCCTCAAAGGAGCTTCTGCTGTGGATTCCCACCTCTAACCTGGGCTTCCTGCAAGAGGATGGGATCCAAAGCCAAGGCCTTTTTCCAGTTCCAAGCTGGCTGAGACCCCCTTTGGGTTTAGACCTCCAGGAAAAGGCATGAGGGGCTCCATCCTCCAATGGAGCTGAGGAACATTCCCACTGCCCTGAGTCTCCCTTCCCCCAGCAGAGAGCCTGAATTTCTCACTCTCTTTATCCTCTTGGAAGGAGAAAAATACACAGAGAACTCGAGCAGAGGGATATAGTGGCTCCTGGCTTGGGAGTTTTCAGCTGTGTGTTTATCAGCTCCATCCCCTGATGGTATCAGCACAAACAGGCCACCCACAAGAAGGCTTAGCAGGCTGGTCTGGGCTCCAGCTTTTCCTGCCTGTCTCCGTGTGTGTGAGTGTGTGTGTGTGTATACAGCAGGGATGGATGATCCCAGGGCCCGGCCGTCTGGGGCCTGCCTCCATTTATTTACTACACAGCTGATGTCATGGCTAAACATCTTTTTTCTGTGTTTATGGGGCGTGCTGCTTTAATCTGCCCGAGATGAATAGACTCCTAAGAGAAGTCAGCTTAGCCATGTCCCTTCTTGGATAGGAAACAACAAATTTTAGGACAGGAAATGGGAGCAACTTAAACAAATGTGTTTAGGGTTTTTATTTAAGTCACTCAAGTCTTTTCCCTGGCAGAGCCAAGAGGTGCTTTCCCTTCTGATTCCTTGGGAATGCTCTAACATCCCTCTTGCACCGAGAGGCAGGATGGTAGAAAAGGCAAAGAAGGCTTTATTCAAAAGAACCACACAGTTTTTACAGAGTGGTACAATAGGTTCCAATCTATTGGCTAACTAACAAAAACACCTTCCTCACCCACTGTCCTTCAGAGGAACAGAAAAACGCAGTAGAAAAACACCACCTGCAAATTGTTTATACTCAACAGGTTATCACATCTTTCCAACTCCCTAAAATTTCTCACAAGCCGCTGTGAGAAACGCTTGCCATTTCTCTCTCTGTGTCCCATGGCATCCACACTCTAACCACCCCCTCTCCCCCTGCACCCCGGCAGGCACGTCAGAGCTGAGCCCCTTCTCGGACCCGCGGCAGTTCGAGCGCTCCTTCCCCACGCTGCCGGCGCTGACGGAGACGCGCTTCTCCGACCCGCGGATGCATTACCCCGGCGCCATGTCCGCCGCCTTCCCCTACACCGCCGCGCCCTCGGCCACGGGCATCGGGGGCATCAGCATGACCAGCATGCCCACCACCACCCGCTTCCACCACACCTACCTGCCGCCCCCGTACCCCAGCTCCACGCAGAACCAGAGCGGGCCCTTCCAGGCCAACCCGTCTCCCTACCACTTGTACTACGGGACGTCCTCGGGCTCCTACCAGTTCTCCATGGTGGCGGGAGGCGAGCGCTCGCCCACCCGCATGCTCTCGTCCTGCACCAGCGCCTCGGCGGGCAACAACCTGATGAACGCCAGCCTGGGCGCGCAGAGCGACGGCGTGGACGCCGACGGCAGCCACAGCAATTCCCCCACCACCATGAGCACCACGGGCAGGATGGATGAGTCCGTCTGGAGACCCTACTGAGGAGGAGCTCGGCTGGGCACCCGTGTCTTTAACTCAATCAGCCGCCGTGGCTCCTTTTGGGAGCGACCAAAGTGATGCCAAGGGAAAAGTTAAACCGAAGTCTTCCAAACCAAAAGTTAAGGATCCTCTGCATGCAAACATCAAGCGAAGATCAACCAAGACCTTCATTACATTTCAAGGTGAACACCCGCGAGGCTTGAATGTGTCGCTTGATGTGGTTCCTTCTGTATGTTTTAGGTATGTGGATTGTACATAGGGAAAAAACCCCAAGGACGTGTGGAATCAGATGTTTGGTACTTGCAGAACACTTCTCGTTCATCTCACTCGCACCTCTTCCCCACACAAAGCATTCAGAAGTGAGGAGAGTCTCACCCTTCCTCTGCAAAATGGTTCAGAGAAGAGAAGACACCAGGGAGTCATCCGAGCCATCTCTCTGCCAGTGCAGGAGGACTGAACTTAACTTAAAAAAAAAGGAGAAAAAAATAAAAAACCCCCATTGTCTCCTGTCCTTCCCTCCCCACTGGTGAAGGGTCCCTGAGCACCAAAGAGCAGTGGGGTTTGCAGCACAGCCAGGGGCTCTGGGGCTCAGTCAGCCACGTGAACAAGAGCTGTGATGTGATTATTGTTATTATTTGTTGACGACACAAGTTGTATTGTTCATTTTGGTGTCACTGTCGTCGTTTGTCAATCAGTAACGTGGCTGACCCCGGGCCTGGCTGACCCCTCCTCCATGTTTACACACGAGATGTACTTTTTGTGGAGATGTTTTGTTTTGTTTGTTTGCTCTCTTGTCCTGACCTCACCGTTCAGCTCCTTGCTCCCCTTAGCAAACCTCAGTGATGGTGGCTGAAGTGAAGGCAGCATTCAGGACAATCTAAAACATTTGAGATGCACTTCCAAGGGGCTCAGGAGCCTTTGGCATGGCCTTGCCACCATTTTCCACATGTTCCTTCCGTCCCTTCTGAGTGGCAACACTCACAGCTGGTGGCAAAGCCTCATAATTCTGTTCTGGTCCTTTCCCATGTTCTCACCCAGAGAGGATTACACAATTTTTTATTTTGACTCACATGTGTCAGTTCATCCTGAAAGCTCTGAGATCTGGAGAAAGGAGCAGTTTCTACTCCTGGTGGTGGGAATGTTGTGAATTGATGCTGTGCAGCCTTTTCCATCCCCTCACCCTCCTGTCCTTCCCCAGGTGACCCCAGCACGGGGATCCTGCTGTAGAGGAATAAGCTGAAGAGGGGGCACTCAAGGTGGCGGTGGCATCAGGTGGCATTTACAGGATCCAGGTCTGCCAAGCACCACACACCCTCAGAGCTGGCGCCACAGAGATTGCAACCAAACAGGGCCATGCTGGGAGGCGGCTGTGGGCTCCTCCAAGGCCAGTTCCGGGCTTGGCTCTGATGCACAACACAGGGCTTGTCACCTTCTGCAGGCCACCTGTGCCCTCTGCTGGCATGAGAATAGGGGCTGGATTCAGGATTCTTCATGCTGGCAGGGCTGGGCACAGGCAGATTCCTGGGGATCCATACCTGCTGTACCCAGTGCCATGCAGAGCCCTGCCCGCAGCCAGGGCACAGCCCCAGCCCCAGTGCCACCAGTAACCACACCTTTCTTCCTCCACTTCTCCCATAAACACAAGCAAATCGAAGGCCCAGAGCCGCCCTCCTGGCCCCTGTGCCTCAGCCACACCGTCCCAGCCTTGTCACCTGTCCCCAGCTCCCAGCTGGCAGCCGGTCACCCTCAGCACAGAGCGCTGCAATTGCACTACCACGGCCGGGCTGGAGCAGCACATCCTGCCTGCCCTGGAGAGCTGCCACGACCACTCAGAGCTCCACAAGCAACGAAGAGCAACTCTTTTCAATAATAATAATAATGATGATGATGATAATAATAATTTTTTTTAAGCCTTACCCCAGCATAACTGCAACCTCCACTTGCCTTAGCGCCGGCGCTCGCCGGCTCTGGAGCTGGACAGGGCAGCCTGTGTTTTGATGCCTTTTTGCGTTTGTCATCCCGTCCCACTGGTTGAAAGCACAAAGGAGACAAGGCATTCGTAGTTGTAGGTTAATTTAAGACTGTTTGTAGTGAGTTTTAAAGGAGAAAATAATAAAAAGAATGGCAACGATGTTGTTTTTATGACATATTGTCATGTGAAGGTGTAAATAGATGCACCTCTGTTGTATGCAAATGGTCACGAGACAGGCCAATGTTTTTTGCTTTGCACTATAATTTGCTTTTTTTAAAAAAAAAAAAGAATGCACAATCGCTTGTACAGTAAAGCCCCTTTGTCTGGCTCACAGAATATTTAACTATAAAATCTAATTTTTGGTCTTATTTGTTATAATAATATAATTCTTAAATGTGTTGAAGGATACGATTCTTAATAATGCTTCTAATACTTGTATGTGCAGGGTAAAAGATCACCAGACTAAGGAGATGAGATCAGAGATCTTTGTAGATAAAGAAGGCTAAAGTTGTCGGGTTTTTTAAATGGTGTCTTACGACGGACATTAAACAAAATGCTAGTGATACCAAAAAAAATGTGGTTATTTGTGTAAAACCCCAGCCCTACTTGAAGGTAACGCCCTATATTTAATATGTAGCCCGATTTTTAACCTGTAGCACTTGTCACTGGGGAGGGGGGAGGCGGGGAGGGCAGAGGAGGAGGAAGAGGAGGGTCTGCTCCTGGAGAAGCCATCGGGGAAGCTCTGACTGCCCTGAGAGCAGCGGGGCTGGCGTGGGGACAGAGCCCCGGCTCGGGGACAGTTCTGCTTTTCTGGGACGGGGTCATTTCTGCTCCGCGGGCCGTGGCCGTGGGCTCGGGCCGCCCTGTAATGCTGTCAATGCCGTGTGGATCAATAAACGATGGTTACAGTGGCCCCGCCGCCTCCCGCCTCTCACTTCTCGCCGGGACAGGGGGGCTCCTCATCCTCACGCTGCTCTTTCTCCAGGCTCTGATTTTCGGCTCGTTCAGAGCATCCCAGTACCAGCTCCGGTGCTCGGGGGCTGCTCTTGGCCGCAGTTTGGCGCCACAAGGGTGGGGAGGGGAGGGCAGGTAGGGTGGGATGGGGTGGGAGGACCTGAGCTCGCTGAAAACCCGTTTAAAGCTCTCCCATTTAAAGGGATGTGGAGCTCTGTCCGTGCCCGCGGGCAGCCCTGGCAGGGTGATCGCTGTGTGCCAGCCCAGCCGTGTGCCAGCCCAGCATCGCCTCCCGCCCTCCTCCTGTCAGCGCCGTCCCAGCCGCAAGAACACCGCACCAACCCAGCAGGACCCAAATTCCCGGGCGGGGCGAGCCCAGACCCCTCAGCACTCAGCGCTCGCCTCCAGAACCCAAACGACAGCTGAAAGGCAAAAATTGAAAAATCCCAGCCCACAACAGGACCCGATGCCAAGGCGCTGCGGGCCGGGGCTCCCGAGGAGCCGGGGAACGCAGAGCCAGAATTATTCATGAGCCCGGGGCAGGAGAGTGGGGCCATTCCCAAAGCTCTGCCTCCCCTCTGCAGCATCTCCGTGAGCGTGGAAAGAGGGAAAGAAAAGAAAAAGAGAAAAAAAAATTAGGAAAAGCCCAAACCAAACCACAAGAAATGCTAGTACCCAGCTCCACAGCCCTGGCCAGCGGGAATATGTTCCAAGGAAAACCCGAGAGTGAGCTGCCTTTTCTTCCCTGCTACTGGGAGAGGAAACACCCCGAGGTGTAGCTGTTATTTACAGGAACTTTCTGTTCCAAACGGATCCGTGCTTTTCTCACTGCCTCGGTCAGAGCTGCAGCGGGAAAAGAGAAGGAGAAAGAAAGAGGGGAAAAAAGAGGACAAATAAAAAGGGTTTTATTGTACTGACATGCACTGGATGATCCATGGAATCCATGGGGTTGAAGTGGGTTTGGTGCAGGTGCCCGTGGAGGGGATGAGGATGTGTCGGGGACAGCAGCACTAAAATGCTGATGGGAGGCCCAGACAGCTGATGGTGTTAAATGTGCCCCACACCTGAGGGCCAGAGGGCTGTGATTTTTCTATGGGCATTATTTTTATATGGGCATTATAATTATTTGTGTTATTCCATGGGTGATATTTTTATAAGGTTGATGTTTTTATATTGGGGATATTTTTACCCAGGCCACCCACCCCGCATGGCATCCAACGTGCTGCTGCTGCATCCTGCTTCCACACAGGTTTTGCCCCAATTTAATTTAAATGGGAGAGCTGAACCCCAGCAGAGCAGTGTGGGGTACATCAGCCTCTCCCAAAGGCTCCCAAATACCTGAGGGATCCCTGTATTCCAGGGGGAAGCTGAAAAACAGGGCTGGAAGCAACAGTGTGGGGCAGTCAGAGCAGGAATGTTTGGATTTTCTTTTGCAACAGAAAAAGGGAAAAAATAGCTGGAGCTTGAAAAGCTATTTTTTGAGCATTCAGATATTAAATTGCGTGGAGTTTGGGCTAAAAAGTCTCCTAGGAAAAATGAAGACTATTTCCTTTGAGATCAGAGCTAACAAAAGTCTCAGCAAAAAGCTTGTTTTATTCTCATTCCAGTCTAAACTCTAAAGCCCAGCCTCTGTTTTAATGACTCTGTTGTGTCCAAACTGCCTTGGTAAATAATCTTTTAACTTGCACAGATTCTGAGACTACACAGGATATAGGGGAAGGATCCTGGCCTTTGCCTTGCCCACATCAAGCCCTTAACGAACCGTGCCCAAACGAGCAATCAGCATCATTAAGGCCCAATTCTGCTCCTCTGAAACAGGAATGCAATCCCGTTCCTCTGAAATGGAACCAGATGGCCCTGAGAGGTGCAGAGCACCCATCCAGCGCCCCCAGGGACCCCTTACACCTGCGAAAAATCACCCTGTGGGCACCCAGCTGGAGCAGAGCGAGGTTCCCCCTCTGGCATCACCTCCGTGGGCATCCATGGGGGTTAATCCTCCTGCAGGGCCTTCCTGCTGGAAAGGACGGGGGGTTTGTGGGGCTGGCGTGGGTGTTTTTGTGAATGCTGCCTATTTAGA